TTTTCTATTGTATACTTTGATCGCCTTCCTTCTACGTTTAAACTCTCTATTTTCTTCTTAATATATTTCATTTATCATATTTTTATATATTTTTATTTTTTTATTTCCGTCTTTGTAAAGATTTCCCTTTTTGCTAATGGATATTTTTTTTTCATTCATTCGTTTTTCTTGAGAATTTTTTTAATTCATATTTATTCTTTCTACTTTATTTATTTTTCATTAGTTTTGCATTTTTGATATTCATTCATTCGTTTTTTTTTTAAATTTTTTCTTTCTACAAGTTTTTGTTTTTTCCTTTTTGAATTATAGCTTCTTTTGCTTCAACTGATTTCGTTCTTTCTTGAAGATTTTTCAAACGGTTGTCTTTTCTTAAAATTCATTAACGTATCAAACTGTAGCCCTATTAAATTTTTGAAATTTATTTACATAGCAAACAGGAACCATATTCAATTTATAAAATTTGTTTACATAGCAAATTAGAATTCTTGTAAATTTTATAAAATTTATTTACATAACAAACTAGAATCCTATTAAATTTTATAAAAATTATTTGCATAGCAAACTGGAAGCCTATTTATTTTTATCCAATTTATTTAAGGAATATTTTTCTTATTCGTGATCTGGAGTTCTTCGAAAAAAAAAAACTCCATTACTGCTAACTTTCAAGATAATATTTTCTTAGCCTAGAAATCTCGTATTTGTCTGGTGACGCTATACTTGTTTGAAATGATCAGATTTTCTCCTGCTACAGTTTCAAGGATGGAACCGAGCATAATTTACTTAAAACAAACTTTCGTAGACCATTTACAACTAGTAAGTGAAGTTAATATTGTAGCACAAATCCATTGTCGATTCGTTTTCCTTTTTTACATACAAAGAATTCGGTAGTTATTTTCTACGAGTTGAAAGATATAGGCAATTTCTTGGGATGTAGTTAACGTTCTTGCAAAATCAGTGGTTGTCGTCTGGATGGGGAGGGGTGTAAATATGCATTGAAACGAGATGGCAGAAGATACTTCGATTAGATTAAAACCAGTCACTACTTCCTATTTCAATCAGATTACGAGAAATAAATTCGGCTTGAGGAAATGAAAGTATATTTGCCTTTCGATATTACTTATCAAAAGACGACTTAGCGAAAATATGGCTGCATATAAGTTGCAATAAGTTTCGTACACACACACACACACATATATATATACATATATATATATATATATATGTATTTATGTGTATATATATATATATATATATATATATATATATAATATTTGTATTTGGGATTTCTGCTGTTCAAAATGTTTCAGCATTTAGGACCTTTTCTTTTATACAAGTTTTATTAAACACTGTTTTTTTTTTAAATTTTTAAAAACGCTCTTTTTCTTTAACTGACAAGGTTACTACGATTAATTATTTTTTTATTCACGGTTTTATTTTACTTTTTGTATTTGTACACATATTTTATTTTCTAGGTATAAAATTTCTGAAAACTGTTCAAATGTTTTATATTCCCTACTGCTTTTGTCTATTCACAGTTTAATTTCTTTCATAAATTGTAGGACAAAAAAGTATTGCTGGTAATTTTTACCATAAAAATTTATTTTTATGACTTCACAGTTTGGTTTATTTTGTTTAATTGTATATCAACACCTCAATGGGTTATTTAATGCCGACAACATTTTTAGGATAGATTCGTATGAATAGAATATGTATTCTTTGGTTTAGATTGGTTTGGTTTATTTTGTTTAATGGCATATCAACCTCAATGGCTTATTTAATGCCGTCAACATTTTTAGGATAGATTCGTATGAATAGAATATGTATTCTTTGGTTTAGACTGGTTTGGTTTATTTTTTTTAACGGCATATCATCGTCAATGGGTTATTTAATGTCGACAACATTTTTAGGATAGATTCGTATGAATAGAATATGTATTCTTTGGTTTAGATTGGTTTGGTTTATTTTGTTTTACGGCATATCAACCTCAATGGGTTATTTAACGCTGACAAAATTTTTATTGCTTGGTAATATTTAGTTTTGTCAAAAATCTGTTTCTGGCAATATATTTCCTTCAAAATTGTGTTGTTGGCAATAATTTAAAGAAAAGTATTGCTGGTAATATTTAATATAGCTCGGACCCTAACAAGTGCTGATCAGAGGGCTTGATGCTGGACGTAGTTTAACGTCTTACCCAGGACGTGGATGTAGTTTACCGTCTTACCCAGGCCGTTCATAGCTTGGGGGTTAATTATTTGTGGTCTCACGCCTCTCAAAACAACCCGATCAGAAGCCTTGCTACCGGATGTAGTTTATCATCATACCCAGGACACAGAATCTTTTAAAAAAAATTAGTGAGACAAAAATGTTGTAAATGTTTGAACAGGGATTTTTCTATGTGCTGTGTCCATTCGCGGATGTGGGCGATCATAGTTCTCCACAACTTCCTGTCCTTTATAGCTCTTAGCAATGTATGTCCTTTTGCTAATTTATGTTCTGCCAACTGTTTACACAGGCCCATTAAGTAGGTTATTCGTTGCATTCCTCTGACCCTCTGGCTTTTAATATCTCCTGCAAGTCGTCTTCAATTTTCCATGTGCCGTGTCTCTTTCAGGACATTGGCGATCATGGCTCTCTACAACATCCTCTCCTTTGTAGCTCTTAGTAAATATTGTCTTTGTGATGTCGCTCCTAACCCCTGTTCTGCCACCATGCTTGTTAGGTAGGTTATTAACTTCTTCCCTCTCTCCTTCTTACCATCAATGTGTCATGTGAGTGTCAAAATGTCCAAGCCCTCTTTCCTCATTATATGCCATAAACATTTCAGTTATCTGAATCTGATGTTAAATATAAGTGTCCTTCTTGTTTTCATTTTCGCCAAAGTTTCAAATTGTCTGAAAAATAACAGAATTTATCCTGTCAGTTAGTTTTAATGAAACATGTATTGAGCGATTTTTACATAAACTATATTTACGCGTGTGTGTGTGATTGCCAAAGTATATTTTAGTTTATCGATGTTAAGAATACTCTGATAGATTGTAGGCGGATTATCGATTAACCAAAAAGCAATCGGCTTTGCGGTTATACCGAGTAATCAATGACGATATCTTGTGCACGCGGTCATCTACTTATAGATTTACTTATAGATTTGCTTATATTTACACACAAGTCAAGAGAGTTGAACAGATAGAAATTACTTATCTAAGAACAAGGCTAGAAACATATTTCGATAATTAGGTGACTCGATACAGCAAAGTTTAAGGAGACACACACATATTTACTTATATAAAGAGACAGACTATACAGACAGATATCAACAAACGCAGATAGGTTTAAGCAAAATATATATAACTATACGCACACGCAAACGTATACATATATATATATATATATATATATATATATATATATATATATCTGCAATAGCATTGGTACTGACCTGGCATCACGGCTTCAGTCACTTTCTCACCGCTGTAACATAGATTCACTGTTTCTTTTCTATAAATATTTTCTAATGAGCTTTCCTCTTGATAAATTTAAGCAAAGTACATGATTAGCGCGAAGGTCTCATCATTTTACAGCTGAAATGGCTAAATGTAACCGTAAGTTCTATGCTAAGTTTCTTCTCTGACACTTCTTGCTTGTGGAACACTCTTCCGTCTTCTTGATTTCATGTCAAATTTGATTTTCAAATATTTCAATGCAATGTCAATCGTTATATTCTGCTGTCTTCTAAATCCCTGCTCTTTTATTGCTCTCTTTCTATCACCCTCTCTCACCCCCCTCTCTCTCTCTTTCTATCACCCCCCTCTCCCAACCTCTTCCTCTCTCTTTCTATCACCTCTCTCTCCCACCCTCTCTCTCTTTCTATCACCCCCCTCTCTCCCAACCTCTTCCTCTCTCTTTCTTTCACCCTCTCTCTCCCACCCTCTTCCTCTCTCTCTTTCTATCAACCCCTCTCTCCCAAACTCTCTCTCTCTTTCTATCACCCTCTCTCTCCCACCCTCTTCCTCTCTCTCTCTTTCTATCACCCTCTCTCCCACCCTCTCTCTCTCTTTCTATCACCCTCTCTCTCCCCTCTCTCTATCTCTCTCACCGTAATAATTTTTGTTCGCATATTCTTTCATACTCAGTAACCTTTTGCATCTTACAGGCTTCAATGAAAATATATATATATATATATATATATATATACATATACATATATCCAAGTATAGGATTGGTGTATACCGAATAAATTACAATAACCAAAAAATACTCGAGTGCTCAATATAGAGTAGAGCAAATATAATAGTGATTTTATAACATATTTTTGCGATAATTTTCGAATAAATATATATATATATATATATATATATGCAAGATAAGGATAAAATGGTAAGTACATATTAACAGAGCGAGACGTATATAAAGTAACTATATATATATATATATATATATATATATATATAGAGAGAGAGAGATAGAGAGAGAGATACAGAAAGAGTAAGAGTGAGAGGGAAAGAGAGATATGAAAAGACTGAAAGTCAGCTAGACCGGTTTTATGACTTTGATAGTTATCTTAAAATTACGTCTTCCTCACCTAAAGATCTGGCGAAACTCAATCTTCCTTTTCTTATCCTCAATCTGATGCTAGCCTTTTGAACCTGACTGGGATTTGCTTCTAATCTGGGATTATTACTCTGCTAAGGATCCGTTTTTTTAAGCTAGGTAAAACTCCTAAATTTCAGACTGTTTCCAAGGGCAAATAGACCCTTCCCATTTTGAAAATTGGCGCCACATAATCTTCCAAATGTTACACTTTCCCCATTTAATCTTGAGCCAAAGAAAGCTATGAATCAATAAGCAACATACTGACATGATGTAAATCGAAGATGGTTCAATCGTGAAGAGATGGTTTTTCATAAAGAAACGTTTAAGGGAATAATATCGATTTCTTTGTGCTGTTCAGCAGACAGGGAATTCCTTGTTGGAAAGGTGCTTCAGGGTGGATTTGAAAGCCATCAGAAATATTGACAGAAGTGCTTACGAAGTGAAGAGAGATAGCTTGAGATAGATAGATAGATAGATAGATAGATAGATAGATAGATAGATAGATAGATATTAGAGGGGAGAGAGAGAGAGAGAGAGAGAGAGATTTTCAAGCATATAACAACTGTAATGAGAAGGAAGAGACGAAGTGAGTGAGATTAGATTCACACACATGGCGATAGATAGATAGAAACCTAGATTAAAAAGGACGTATACACAAAAAGAGATAGAAAGATATGAATAGACACACGCATATACACACGCATATACACACGCATATACACACGCATATATATGTATGTTTTGTGTATTTAGGCAGCAATCCCTCTTTTATACATGTTTCGTTAACAACGAGTAAAAAGATACTGCGATTGTGCTTTTTATTTAATTTTTCTTGTGTTCGTACAAGTGTTTTTTCTGGGCACAATATGTGTAAAAATAGTCCAAAAGTTCTGCATATTTGAGCACTGTCAAAAGTTATTTTTGAATGGAGTCAGGTAGGTTTGTGTGGGTGTTTAAATCCTAATTGTTTAAATCCTAATTGAGCTATGGTCGGGTAATCCTAATTTAAGTCGTCTATATATACATATAGTAGTGTGACGAAAAAAAAACAAAAACAAAAAAAAAAACAAAAACAAAAAAAACTCTATCCTTAACTTTACATATGAACTGGGTCAAAAAAATAAACTCCCATTCTTAGATGTTCTCGTAGAATACAGTAATAAAATTCACCATTTCATTATATAAAAAATCCATTAGCAGAACCCCTGCCACTTTAATGTTAAGAGTGAATGCCAACTTAGATATAAAATAGTAGTTATGAAAAATTTCCTGGAGAGAACACAAGAGAATTCATCCTCTCGTCCATTTTTTCTTGAAGAAATCAAAAATGTAAAACAGACATTAGTCAACAATGGTTTTCCTAACTACCTCATTGACCACGAGATTTGAATATTTTTTTCTAAAGTAACTAACAGCGATACTGAACACACAGACAAAAACAATAACAAAAAAGAAAATACATGTTAACTATAAGCTAGAGGAATTGTCTCTCAGAAATATCACAAAAAAATGAACACGCCAAGTCGACCTGAACAAGAAAATTAAATTATCTATTACAAAAAATTTAAAACAGCTAATCTTATAAAAAAAATAATAACTCACTTGCAAAATCAAAACTACAAATATACAACATTATTTACGAGTTCAAATGTCCCCTAAGGAACTGTTTACCTGATCAATCCAAACTCATAAATAATTGCATTGGTCACACTACTACATTCCTATCTAGACGACTTACGTTAGAGTTACCCGACCATAGCTCAATTAAGAGTCATTCAAGCTCACACAAAAATCTAACAGACTCAATCCGAAACATAAGTTTATAAGTCCCAATAAAAAAGAAAAGCCAGTACTCAATATCATCAACTATGAACATGGTCACAATGTGCTGACCGTGTTCGGAAAGTATAACGTTTATGTATAACATACATAAAAACTCACATATTTAGTTAAAAATAAAAAAAAATAAAAATCTTCCTTGGTAATGCATAAAAGTATAACCGAAAGCTCGCAGATATGTAAAAATTTTGTTTGTTCCCAGAAAGGAAACATTTATACGAACACAAGAAAATTAAATAAAAGCTCAGTCCCAGTACCTTGTCAGTCGTCTTTAACAAAATATGTATAAATGAGTGATTGCTGTCTAAATACACAATATATATATATATATATATATATATATATATATATATATATATATATATATATATGAAGCCTGACGATTGCGCCTAGCATGAAACAGCCTGCCGCCTCTGAGTGTTGACTTCAATGTTCACTTATATATATATATATATATATAAAGAGAGAGAGAAAAAAAGAGAGAGAGAGAGAGAGGGAGATAGATAGATTCAAATAGATTGAAATAGATACATAGGATGAACAGACATGAACAAACTGAGATATGTGTATGTATATATATATATATATATATATATATATATATATATAGAGAGAGAGAGAGAGAGAGAGATAGATATGAAGAGACTGAGAGATAGATAGATAGATAGATAGATAGATAGATAGATAGATAGATAGAGATGATCAGTGGAAATTATTCAGAATGTACAAAAACGAGTTTTGTATAGCTTTCCATTTTTAATTCTGACATAATTTACAATTTAATTGGAAATTTAAAAAAAAATCCTTGTTAGTATTATTAAAAGAAAGAATAGACAGACAGATAGATAGATAGATAGATAGATAGATAGATAGATTTGGACAGACTCTGATACATATGTACACAGGTAGATGCATAAATAAATATGAACAGAGTGATAGAGAGAAAGAAAGAAAGAAGGAAAGAAAGAAAGAAGGAAAGAAAGAAAGGAAGAAAGATAGAAAAAAAAACACCGAATTATGGAAAGAGAAGAAAACTAAAGAAAACGAAAAACTAAAGAGACGTGAGAAGGA